GACCGATATGTTACCCTCCTGCTAGTGATATGCACACACCGACTACACTCTTACCATCTTGGACTTGTCTGGAAGTATAGGGTTCCTATTTTCACACACTATAGTTACTGACTGACTGATGATTGCATGAAAGCATATGAAACTGGCAGTCGTGTTTGGTCACTGCCCACATGAAATTTGACTTAAAAATGTATTAAAGCTCTGCCATTTATTAAAGCATTGAGCACTCTTTTTTCCTGTGTGCAATATAAGACAAAAGCAAAGCTTATCTTACAATCTAAAAATATTTTCTGGCTTTAGATAACTTGCAAAAGTTGATAAGTCATAGAAAATTAATCAAGCAAATCATATCAAGAATTTTTAAATCTAAGTATACTTATAAATATATATCAGGCTAACATTTGCCGTGATAAAGATCATCAGAGGATGAAATGCATCAGCTAAGTTTTCCTTTTGTCTTTATTCATATATTTTTTTAGTTATATCTGAATGTGTGTGTGTGTGCTAGATTTGAGGATTTTAACCATGACAATAAATACTTTCCTTAATGCTTAGTTTTCCCCATCTCTTTCAAAGTCAAAACGGCAGAAAAGGTAGCAGCAAAAATTTATACATCATTCAGTACATATGCACACTATTTAATTCCCTGGACATTCAGGTATCACCTTTAATAATCTCAAAAGTTGAAAGTAAGATTGATGGAACTAAAGACAAATCTTTAAAAAGTTGGAGGCATTCCTTGAAGCAAACATTTAAGATTCTGTGAGTATTCTTACCATATTAATCCTGATTTGATAACCAAAGCAGGTATTGCACCTGTGACATCCATGCTACACCACAGACAGACAAAACACATGGTTATATGCTTTTCTACTGGAATATTTGTAAAAATAATGGAAAAAAAAATAAAGAGACAGGATTTTTTTAAAAAATATTTTTTATCACCAGAATAATGAAGTAGATAAAAATAAAATAAATGTTTTCAAGAAATTTTATATTATATATATATATATATATATATATATATATATATATATATAGGTAACTATACTCATTTCGAAAAACCTTCGAATTTTTGATCTGCCAGTAATCAAATCAATCTCAAAGGAAAAAAAGGTTTTAAAAAAGAAAGAGCTAGAAAATGAAAGTCTGTCAAAAAAAATCGCACAGATACAGGTTTAAAGCCCAAAGAAAAAACCCCGACATGAGTAAACAACTAACTAACAAAAGAGCTCAATACAAGCAGATCGTCAGGGTTCCCTGACAATCCGCTTAGGTGAAACCTAGGTAGGTTTGTCTGGCTCACTATGTTATATATATATATATATATATATATATATATATATATATATATATATATATATATAATCGCTTAAATGTTATTTTTTAGTGGATACCTATATTTGTGTAGACACTCTGTTTTTTTTTATTAAACAGTATATTTTTTTTTGTATTTATATATATTTTTTATTTATGAATTTTTATTTAAATTTACTTAAGTTTTTGGAAAATGTGAACACTAAAGTCACTTGTACTTAGAATCAGAAAGAAACAGTTGAAATTTTTAGGATAATGAGGAAAGAGGGCTTGAAGAATTTAACACTCACAGGCAATTTGAATTGACACCCACAGGAGAAAAGGGGCAGAGGGAAACACCAAGTATTGAGCATGTGTAAATGGGTGGCAGAACAGGGAGTGGGAGGGACAGTCAGAGGTAAACCTTGCTTACAGCCAGAAAGAATAGGAAGTTGTGAAGAGTCATTTTTGCTAATATCCTGAAGGGAAACATTACCTAAAAGAAGAAATATATAAAATCATATATAAAAATGATGATCAGCCAGCTAGTCTCATTGAGCTTTGTACTCTGTATCACAATAATGGCACCTATCAGGTTGTACAAACTTTATTCAATATCTATCTTTGTGTATATGTTATTACTTTCTTTATTTAACACTTGATATATAAGTAATCACCCTTATATACCCTGTATTTACCCTGTATTAACTGAAGCAGGAAACCAACTGTTGCCACTTGGAATTGACCACAAAGTCCATTTTTTATATTTAAATGTGCTCTATCACTGATAGTGAGATTTTTAACATTACTAAAAACTATATATATATATATATATATATATATATATAGAGAGAGAGAGAGAGAGAGAGAGAGAGATAGATAGATAGATCGATAGATAGACACACTTGCTGAATAGCTATAGAACTTAATTATAAGTTGATGTATGCATTAATGTAAACATGCATTCTGAATATATACATATCACAAACCATCAAATTGATATGTTCACACCCACACACATATATATCTTCACTCTTCTAAACATTTTGGTAATTTATCATTCTGTAATACAATTTGCAATGTTAGGCATTAAAACAGCCAAATGCTGGCATTAAATAAAATACACTTGGAATTATTTGAAAATTTATTCACCAATTCTCAATTTTCATAAAATCTAAGAAGGTAAATTTTATAAACAATAAAGGAAATAAACCTTCTAAAACAAATGCCTTTTTCATCCTTTAGAGGGATACAAAATATAATTATATATAAATAAATAGGCTCAGTTGAGACATAAATGTTGCAGGCGTGAATATGTACACATGTTATTATTTAGAAATACAATATCATGGCTTTCTTGGCAATTTAGATAGGTGCATATTTCCAATTGGCACCAGTAGTTATGTACTAGGATTTTGAATACCATTTCTTTGGGGCAAGCAGGCAGGTAATCTATACTTTATCCCCAGTCCAAATTTACCCTTGCACCATGCTAAGCTGAGTTAAGTAAATAGCAAACAATGTAATCTCATGCTGCTCTTAAACAAGAATGAGCACTCACAGATTGATATACACAACCATGAATATTTCATATATGTGTGTATGTATTTATGCATGTATACATACACACAGAAAGAGATGCAGAAAAGTTTTTTGCCTGACCCCTTTCCAAAAATCTGACAAATTGAACAAATATCAAAATATTTTTGGAAAATCCTTCTTGGTTGGATTGGAAATATTTCAATCCTCTTCCATATACAGAAAGGAAATCAACAGCCTAGTGGATTAAAGCATTGGTTTATGAATTTGATGTTATAATAATTGTAAGTTCAATCCCAGGGCAGGATAGTACAGACTTAGACTTGGTGGAAACAGGGTGAGTAATAACAGAGTCGGACTAGAAAAGAACAAGAGATAGCCCTAGACATCGACAGTGGAATGAGAACAATCTACCCCTTCATTTAAATAAAGTGTTCAGTTTAAAATTCCCTGAAGATTACCTGGATCAACGGAGAGCTGAAGAAGGATGGAGAGAACAACAGATAAAATAATAACAACAAAGATGAAGATATTAGACTAAATATATGGAAATGATAAGTCTGTAGCCTAATTATGAAATAAAGTATCTATTTCACACAACAAATATTTATTTTGCAAAATAATTTCCTTTCTTTTCGTTTCATTCAGTAATGCGTAATAACCACAGAGATTAAACGTTATACAGTGAAAATTTCAGATTAAAATTCTGTTACTAAGGACATATCCAACATCATATTTTTCAAAGTGTTACCCCTAAATTCCTGGAACTCAAAACACAGAACAGTTCCAAAAAAGAAAGAAAGAAAGAAAAGAAAGAAGAAAATAATGTTTATTTCATTTCCTCATGAAATTATTTTAACAGATATATGTCTGCTATGACAAGGGGAAAACTTTGGCTAAATTGACAGAAGAACTCCTCCATTGTACTTAGGATGTAAATACATGTGCTCTTACAATATTCATGTATAACAACTGCAAAAGTAGCACCAAATATACTTATATCAACGATAAATATATATAAAAAATCTCCAATCATTCATTCATAATTTTATACTTACAAGCAAATCTGTTTATATATACATGAATTTGCACTGTATATAAAATTTTTATATTTGTGAATGAACTCAACATATGGATACTTATATCTGTAATGATTTACATTGTATGACCCTGGCTAAGATAAACAACATCCATACAAACAATCCAAAACATATACATTCATTTGCAGCATTTATTTGGCTTTGCCAGGTTTAGCAGAAATCTATATTTTTGAAAAGATTGTGCAGCATCAAATCCTCAGCAATAAGCAAGCCGACCAAAAAGTTTAGATTTTAATACTCAGTCTTAACTTAGATTTGAACATTAACTGCAAGTACCACAGACATCCTTTCTATCAATGTGACCACTGAAGAACACTCACAGATAGTTATTAAAATGTACTTCACTTGATGCATTATTAGGTAAGTAATTACATATAAATTAGGATAAACACTAATTAATCAAGCATATATTCAGATATGGTGTATTAGCAGAAAGAAAAAGGTTAGCATAGATTTTTTTTTCATTTTATGAGCACAGGAAAAAAATTATCATTTACTTTATAAAACCTGAGATAAAAATTGATATAAAATGTAAATTACAGTTCAAAGATAAATGGACACAGGAAAAGAAGCATCAGTGAAGTCTTATTGAATAAAGTGTGTTTCTCTAAAACATAAACAAGGAAGAAAGAAATTAAATATTTGTTTATAAGAATTTTTTTCACTGTTTGTCAATAAAATGAAAATGAAGAGAAGAAAGCCTTGAAATAAAAATATGGAATATTTACATTTTTCTTTATCATTAGATCCCAGATTTGTAAATAATTTTTTTTTAATCTTCAGCGGATTTTCTTACCTTAGATATACAATCACAGTGTAGTATGGAGTGTAAATTTTTCTCAGCGTTAACCCTGATATTGCAAGGGGAGCCAGGCATCCCCGAGCAAACGCACCCCAGTAAAACATCCATGGTTGGTACAAGCCAAATGTTGACAACACTTTTCCTATTCTGTTGTGTGTATGTACACACTTGTGTGCATGAATTACATGAAGCTGATCACTGCACATGTGTGTGCAAAATGCTATTGTGATTACATGATTTATAATGGAATCATTTCCTTGTGTTTATGTTATGGAGGAGAGAGAGAGAAAGAGAAAAAGAGAGAGAAAATATTGTCTGGCAACTTTGCAAGCCACTAGATAAGGACCACAGCACAGTGTGTGGCTGGGGCTAGGTAGGTGGAGCAATGGAGGAAGGTGGTGTGCTGGGGGGAAATTAGGGAGTGCGGGGGTAGCTAACAAAAAAGAAATGGCTTAATATAAAAAAAAGAAAAATCAACAAAGAAACAAAGCCCACAGACTGGTTCCCCCAAAAGGCACAATCTTTTGCTCCTTCTTTCTTTCTTTCCTTGTTCACACTCCCATGTACCATTCATTTTTTTCTTTGTCTTTCCCCTTCTCATTCATTCATTCATTGAACAGCATAGAGGAAGATGCAATGGTGCTACTTGTTATCACTGCCAAAGAAACACATTTCCAAAAGATTGAGAGAAAAAGAAATTAGTAGTTAAAATGAGAGAGAAAAAATTAAAAAGGTGATAAGTAGTTAGATAGATGTTAACAGACTGTGATAGATACCAAAAAATGAGATAGATGGATATGAAAAGGCTGATGTAGATAGATAGATAGATAAATATGAAGAGGTGGGCATAGACAGAGAGGTAGAGCGATATGAAGAGACTGTGATAGATAGATAGACATGAAGAGACAGAGAGTGAATAATGAATAAGAAGAGACTGAGATAGATTGATAGATAGATATGAAGAGACTGAGATTGATATCTATCACTCTTTATATCTATCTATTAATCAGAGACTGAGATTGATAGATATAAGGAGACTGAGATTGATAGATAGATATAAAGAGACTGAGATTGATAGATAGATATAAAGAGACTGAGATTGATAGATAGATATAAAGAGACTGAGATTGATAGATAGATATAAAGAGACTGAGATTGATATCTATCAATCTCTTTATATCTATCATTCAGAGACTGAGATTGATAGATATAAAGAGACTGAGATTGATAGATATGAAGAGACTGAGATTGATAGATATGAAGATAGATAAATCGATAGATAGATATGAAGAGACTAAGATAAACAGATAGATATGAAGAGACTAAGATAAACAGATAGATATGAAGAGACTGAGATCTATAGATATAAAGAGATTGATAGATGGATAGATATGAAGAAACTGAGATAGATATGAACAAATACAGATAAATTTTATGTAGGCATACACAGAATAGGGGTTTGGTAGATAAAGAGATATTAACATTGATGATGGTGAAGAAAATTGTGGTGGTAATTGCAGGAGTTTGAGAAGAAAAAGTCAGCAGGGATCAAGAGCTATACAAGAAAAGTAAATAATTTAAATTCAGAAAGAAGTGTATGATGATTATCATCATTATTGATGGTGTAGAGATTTTTTTGAATTGAATCTCTTTTATCTCTCTCTCTCTCTCACTATTTCATAAAGTGAATCTTCTCTCACCTCTGAAACCCTAAATCACTCTCTCATATATTTTCATCTACTGTCTCACTTCACCCACTCTCTAGCTTAATCTTTTCTCTTTCTTTCTTTCTTTCTCCTCCCCTCTCTATTAACCATCAAAATCCTCATTTATACATGTATTCACTCATACACATCTATGTACACACACACACAGTCTCTCTTTATATATATATATATATATATATATATATATATATTCACATTCATATACACAATTACATGGGCACTTCAGTGTAGTGTAATGCTTAGCAAGCATGTCTCACTAGATCAATTACAAATAGTGATTTTGATCCTTACTGGGTGCCCCATGCTTTTGGCTTTGAGCCACATCTAAGCTACACTTAGAAAATCGCAATATACAAAATCACAAATGAACAAAAGTATATGTAAACATCTTATGTAACTTTTGATTATTTTTGTGATCTCAATCTTCTTGGGGGATTAATGCAAGAGTATAAAAGTGATTAACACTGAGAAGATATGAAGAATGTTAACTGCTGTTCCAACATGAGCAGAAAATGACAAGAATATGTAAAGTTGTCAGCCAAACAGGGAGATTAGTGTTCATGTCTTCTTAAAGGACATTAGTGTGAAAATGATAATTAACAAAATCAAGTAGAATTTGTTTTCTTTTCTTTTTTGTTAATAACTTGCCCACTCAGATATATTTTACAATAATATTCATCCCATATAAGGTTCAAGAGCCTCTCAAGGTAGAGGGTTGCAGAGTAAGTTGTAAGAGGTACAGTTTATGAAAATATGTGGGGAAAATATATTCTTTAATATTCTTTCTATATCTTTTCAAATACAGGTATTCGCATCAATGGAAAGCATTTATTGATACATTTCAGACAGATGTGTGTATATAAACATGCATAGAACATATGGATGCATGTTTGGTTGTATATATGTATCCGCACACTTACATGTATATTGGTACAAACACACATTCACTTTTATATGCCTATGTACATATATGCATACCAATGATCAAAGTAAGATTTGCACACACACACACACACACATATATATATATTTATGTACACAGACTGATCCATATTCATATAGATTTGTGTGCATATGTGTGTGTGTGTGTACTGACATAAACACAGAAGCATACTCAATAATTACGTACATACACTTCCACCTACATATAAAGTGATGAAGCCTATAAAATGTAATCCATTTTCTCACACACACATTATAACGTCTTGAAAAGAGAACATTCCTACTCTGGGGAAACAGAGCTAATTTGTTGCCAGTCAAATTCAAACGATAAAATACAAATCAATAGGAAAATTTTTGTCATTTTTACCGTAATTGTTTAGAGAGCTTTTCATACATGGTTCAGGGTGGTTCAATGCTCTCTGCTTTTCAAAGTCTTTTCTTTTCCTTAAGCACCCCACCACCTAACTTTTTTTTCTTTATCTTGTCTACAATTTTGCGAAGAACGACTGATTTTTGTTGGCCTTGTTGTTGCTGTTTAGTATTTATCTCCCCTTGCTTTTTATTTATTTATTTTTTTTGTTAACACAGTAAAGGAAACCTGAAGTAGGGAGAGAGGAGCAATAAGTTGGTAGTCTCTCTGCCTACTGATGTCTGAAACAGAATTAATACATCTCTCTCTGAGAAATAAAATTAACTTTCAAGTAAGATATATTAGTATTGTGAAGGTTTTAGTCATTTTAGTTCAACTTCATTTAGCCTCTGGTTTACTGCAAAAGGATCAAACAAAATTATTTACTCAAGTAGCCATCATATATTCACTCATTCACAACAAATACTGACATTTGTTTCTTGTCCTATGGGAATTAAAATAAACCATTTAGAAGTAAGAAGTATCATTAGTTCAACTTAGAGAAATTAATTATCATGTATCCAATAAGAACATATAATAATATGCCAATCCAGAGACATATTTAACAAGAACAAAAAAATAATCAAAAAATTGATCAAACAATATTTATGAATTCCTGTTTTTTATGTTCTAAGGTTGTATGGCCAACTCAAGGGAGATAATGAGTTATTCAGAGTGGAAGAATAACATATAATTACAAAACAGAGTTCATCAGAAAGACAAAGTGGCAAGATAGCATAGAGGAAGTTTGTGCTGCACCAGTCTTATAAACACAGAAGGTCTACCTGCCTTGAAAACACTAAACACTAGCTTTTACCTGGACCTGAAGACTGAAGATTTGTACATGTGAGAAATAGGCAACTATTTCAGATTACCAAGCAAGCAAGCCTTAACAGGAAGATGAAAATGGTAATATTATCTTTTTCCTTAGAAAACATTCAGCATTCAGTGACCAGTGCTACTTTCAATGAAAATTTATAAAATCTTTCTCTTAAAACAATTTTTCAGGAAAATACATTTCTTAAGTCCAGTAACTATTATTGCTTTTTCCAGTACTGATAGAGGTTTTATTCCTTGTCTTTTGTTTGAAGTTGTGTGGAACATTAGCATCTTGATTATGTCATTATTTTCTCTTCAACAACAACTAAAATGGCTAGCACATGTAAGTCCTCAAGTGGTTTCTACTATTTGGTACAGTTCTTTGTTTGTGATTCTGTAACACCATTCCATGATCTCTGGAGAAGAATGGTCCTCACTAAGACTTACAGACTTTATTTGCTCAAAGCCATTTTTAACCATTAATCTGAAAAAGCAGTTTTGTACAGTTGACAGTTTAGATATTTAATTTTCATCTGGTCTCACCACTTACAAGGATTCCTGTGACTATCGCCATTCAATTCTATTGTTTATCATACTCGGCAAGTCAAAGAGATTGCAATTTATGTTGCCACAAATCTGATTCACTTGTCCTCTGCTAGCTCTTCACTAACAATTTTGTCTTTAGCTCCCCAGCAATGCCCTGAGAATCTGACTATGCTCTATGATGGTGTCTGATACTAGACAAAGGTTCCCATTGGCTCATTGGTCATACAATCACTCAAATGACATTCAAAGCCACTCTTGGCATGCGAGTGTAGGTTTCATCTAATCTTCTTTCCAGTTTTATGTTAAGTTTTGAGCAGTAATACAATAGAATAAAGGTAACAGTTGCTTGGAAGAGGCTGTTGTTATTGAGTCATATAGGTAGGTAATATTGTTTAATATTTGTGAAATGAAGAAATGCTGTTATTCATGAAGTTAATATTCTTATCTCTACTGTTAATATTGAATGATAAAATTACATGGTGGCTGAACATATTACACTTTATCAAATTCTATAATGAAACCGGTTTCATTTAAATTTCCAGCTGTTGATGCTTTTCATATACAAGATATAATCTATGTATTTTACTTTCTTAGCTCTATAATGTTTTTTAAAAACTTTAAAATTTTCTTAACCTGTTCAAGTCTAGGGTTAACTGTTATTTTCTCCACATATCCCATAAATGTTGTAACCCTTTAACTTGTGTGGCTTTTGTACAGAGTGAACATCATTGAAAAAAAAAAAAAAAATGAAAATATTCTCAGTGTTAGAATTTTTACCTTGCTTTAAAGAGCTCTATTTTTTTTTTAGCAAAAAAGAAAAACAACCATAACACACAAATGTGTTACATAGCAACTCAATAAAAGAAAAGAATCTATTGTAAGTATTATTTTTTATAACTTTTCTTCTCTCCACAATTTTCTGTCCTTTGTAGCTCTTAATAACTTTTTGCCATCTGTCCCAAACACTGCTCTACCATCAATTCACTCAAGCTCACCAGGTAGATTGTGTATTGCTTTCCTTTGGCCCTCTTACTTTCAATCTATCCTACGAGTATCAGATTTTCCAAACCCTCTTTCCTCATTATGTACCCTAGAAATTTCAGCTACCTTTTCTTGATGTTAAATGTACTTGTTTTAATTTTCTCCAAAACTTTATTGTTGGTCACATATTCGGTCCATGCTATTCTCAGCATCCTTCTGCAGAATCACATTTCTGTTCCTTCAAGTCTCGTCTACATCTTTGAGGAGATTGTCCAGCATTCACTGCTATAGAGGATGACTGATACTATATAACAATTCAGTAGACATTTCTTTGTTAAATTTAATCTTATTTATCAAAATAAAGTTTAAGTATTCTTATATACCAACTGGATTATCAATTATCTAATGTAACACTATAAAAGTTTAATAATTGTGAAATAAAAATGCTTGTTTTTAAAAATGTTAATAATCTCAAGATAAATTTGATATTTTTTAGCTTTTCATCAGTTTTACTATTAGTAATCTACAAGTGTAGCATTTGTTTTTAACTAGAAATACCTGTGTAAATTTCAGTTTTCCAATTTTAATCTGCTGATGAATTTTAATTTTTAAGTTAATGATTGAATAAACTTATGCCAAGTTCTATGACACTAAAAAATCTGTAGAAATTTCCCTATTGCAACATTAAATATTTGAGCTTAACAACAAAATATTGTAATAACAATGATAAATATAAATGTGGGTTGTTATTTTAAGAAGTAGGGGGGTACAAATGAAAAGATTGAAATTGATAACTTCTTCAATTTCATTGAAACAGATATTAAACACTTCTGTTTCCACTTTTATTTTCTCACTGAAATAAAGTAGCATCTCTGATATATCTTTTCCATCTTTCCATGCAATCTAAATGGAATAGTCCATTATTTATGAGGTATTGGCAGGGTGTAATGGACATGCTAAGTAGGGGGGGACAAGCAGAATTATAATACGGTATTTCATAGCACTTATTTGTTATCTATTGTTGATATTTACCAAGTCAAGCACAAAGCCAAAAGTGTGAAATATTCAGTAAATAATCATTCCAACAATAATAATAATGGTTTGTGAGAATAGCCTGCTAACCACTTCTCCATGGCTAGGACTTCTAAATTAATATTTACCCAGCTTTGCTGAAGAACATTACCAATAATGTTGCCCACTCAATAAGGATCAAGCTCATCAGAGAATATCAGTAAGACTAGCTATGTGAGCAATTCTAAATTAATATTTACTAAATGTGTGTGAGTGCTTAAGTTCATCTTATTACTGATTCGGGATTGAACACATGGAATGTTTTTAAGACATAATCGTGGGGCATTTCTTTTTATTTCTCTCTTTGGATTATTTCTTCAAAGTTTCTTTGACCCTTGCCAAAAAGTCATAAAAACAAATCAATATTGTTCTTTCAGTTTCCACAGTAAAGCAAACAGCTTCCCAACCATCTATTCATTGAAACATGTATAAGCAGTTTGGGTTACCTTGTAGATACTGTATCCATTATTTGTGTGACCAATATTTGGCAGGGATAAAAGTCAAAGCAACTGGTTTTGTCCATGCAGCGTAAGGAGACTGATCATTGTCCAGCTATGATTTTCAATTGGTTTCAAGCCAGCAAACAAACAAGAACATAACACACTTAGTGCTTACTGTTTGATCATTCTCTCACCAAAACATTTTTCCATTATGACAACAACCATAATCAAATAAAATAAGGATACAAAAGATCGAATAGAAAATAAAGATACTCCATGAAAGAACTTATACAATGATGTCTACTCAAGTCAAAGTTCTTCTCATAGAAGCAAAAAGCTAATGCCAATTTTTCAGCTACTGAAATAATCCAATAATAATTTATTGCATTTCTATTAACTTTTGGAGACTTCTGTGATAAATTACTATGTACAAAAACCACAAAACAAAAAAAAAATATTTACAAAGTACTTTTAATTAGAAATGTGAGTATTTAAACTTTTTTCTTAAATTCTAACTATAAGCATTATTTATTTTCATGGGTTTTTGTTTTTATAAAAGATAAATATGCTTATCTTTGTTGTTTTTAATACACCACTTTGGCTGATATACTCTTGAAAATTTTCTGACATGGATGCTAAATCTGTTGATCTACAAAAGCTGCTTCATATTTTTTCTTTCAATTTTCTTGTTGAGAAGATGAAAAAGAAGTGTTCAATACTAAAGTCAATCATGAGAGACTGTTCTAAGAAAGTAACATTTTTTATAACCAGGGAATATTCTTCATATTCTAATCCTAAGAGTTGCTATGAGCCTTTCTCATTTTGTAAGAATTTAAAAAAAGATTATTATCCATGTTTAGGTTGGCTCCTAGATTTTTTGCCTAGAAAATGAATTTTAAAAACTCATATCAAGTAATTACAGTAAACATGAGACAGGATGTTCTTAATAACTCAGTGTAAGATTCTTGTGTTAAAAAAAGAAAAGAAAAGGAAATTAAATGTATGACACTAAAAGAAAGCATAGCTATATTTTGCATACATTATAGACATGACCAAATGGTTAGAACATTTGCTTTCTGGTCATGAGACCCAAGTTTGAACCCCACCATGGTCAATTTGCCAGACTTCTTGATAATATCAGCCTAGGGAACCTTTGGAAAGTACCTGTAAATCATACCATGTGTTAACCCAAGCTTTGTGAGTGAAATTGGATAGATGTTACTATTTGGAGGCCACCAATGGTTGTGCTAGCACAAAGACACAAGTCATTTTGTTTGAGTGTGTTGTCCTTGTTCAAAAAAAATGATCATACCAGATTATGCATTCTCTCCCAGAAACTGTAACTAAGGTCTGTGTAGCTTAGGTGCAGTATAAACTTCAGATGGACTCTGTGGTCAATTTGCCAGACTTCTTGATAATAGGGAATTTACGAGCGAACTTAGCAGATGGGTGTGCTCGGAAATGAGTACCAGCCAGCCATAGCATTTAAGCAGTACTTTGTGACATTGTTTATTCTAAGCATTTGAGAATATTGAAGCTTTAATCAATATAGTCAAGTGTCTTCAAGGAGAAACAAATTTATACAACCATCTTGTACAGATATATAACTGACAGATACACACATATTTGTGGACAAATATGTACTCACCTGATCACACACTCCTCACCTGATGGTTTCTTATGAACACACACTGAACAAATGAAGAGAGATATCACCTGATCATGATGATGATTTCCTGACTTATTGATAAATGGTGTAACAGGCTCAAGGAAAGATGAAAGCATAGAACTTAAAAACATAACAGAGACCTGATACTTGTTGACTTGGGCTGTGTGGAAATTAGATATTACTTTGGAGGAAGAGAGCTAGAAAAAAAAAATAGACAATTTGATTTTTGGAAAGCCATTATACCAGGGTTAACTATATTTTAAGAAAAATCATTTACCTCAGATAGATGCACAAAAGTTTCTTCAATCTCTTTCATCCTTCCTCTCAAGCTCTGACCTGTACAGATAGCCATGGCATTATGGTAATTGTAATATTAGCCATTTCCTTACAAGGAAACATTCAGCCTTCACTGAAAGAGCAGCCAACACAACTTTTAGTTGAAATTAAAAGAATCTTTCTCTAAAAACAATTTTTCAGGGAATTAGCTTTCTCAAATCCAGTAACTGTTATTTCTCTTTCCAGTATTGATGGGGGTTGCCTTCCTTATCTATTGTTTGAATATGTGTGGAATGTCCACATCTTGTTTATATCAATATTTTCTCTTTAAGTTAACTGCATGATATGTGATGCTAACTTCACAAATTCATCCTTACTTAGCATCTGTTCACCTCCATCCATAAAGAATTCACATTGATATTACCTAGATCCATAAAAAATTCAGATCAACATTTAAAATTATTTTGATTATCATCAAAAAGTTGTTTCTTTTGTTATGAAAAGATTTGCATGCTTTTGGATATTTTTTTTGCTATTAAAATTTACATATTTCTAAATTAATTTACTCTGACTTTTGACCTTGGATGGAAGAGAAAAACAAAAGAAAGACAGAGAACAGTGTTGGACACTTGAGTCTTGTCATGAGTAAATCCCACCCCACACAGCACAATCTACCTGATCAGCTTATCTCACAAGCTATTTTTAGTTTTATCAGACTGCCTTCTTTTATATGTTATGTTTCTTCAGAACGTGGGCAATAATGGTTCTCCACAACTTTCTGTCCTTTATTGATTTAAATCACTTTTAATCTATTATATTCTTTATTCCTAATCTGCTAATCACTGACACAAACTTAGAAGGTATGTTACTTGCTGTTTTTCCTTGCTTCTATTGCTTTCACTGTCCTGTGAGTGTTAAATTCTATAGGTTCTCTTTCCTCATTCCAGAAATTACAACTTTTTCTTTGTGATTATAATTATAAGTGACCTTGTAGTTCCTATTTTCCTTAAAACTTACTTATTGCTTGTATGTTCAGTTCATTATATTCTCAGTGTCTGTCAGTCAGGCACATGCCATCAGGAATTACTCAAAGTAGGCACTTGTGACCTTTATGTAGCAAATCTACAAAAAAAATATAATATTTTGCATTTTATGCATAATAATCAGAATAACCTTTATAGTTTTGTTGGATGAGGTGCATATTGTACCACAGAAGGAAAATGTAGGTGGTGATCTATTTTATCCCGGGTAGGCACTGCTTACCTAGATGACATGTCCCTGCTGTCAGTAGAACTAAATCTGTGAAACTTCAAGCTTTTCTTCATCTGTGTGTGGAAAGCGTCCAGTATTCACCACCATATAGGAGATTAGATATTACCTAGAAGTTCAGCATGATTTTCTTTGTTTCAGACAGTATTTTTCTAATGTCTTAATTCTTTGCTTACTTTCTGGAAGGTATCTTTTGCTATTATTCTTGTGTCTTTGGGTTTTGTTGTTACATTTTCTGTTGTCTCTTACACTAGCCAAAGAGTTAAATCTCTGTACTTGCTTGATTTTAATATTTGCAATATGTAGCTGATGTCCTGAGTTGTTATATCAAACTGTTATGCTTTTAGCGGAAATTTAAAAATTTTGTCTTAATTTCTAAAATGAGGATCTTCTATTATGTATAACTAGAAATACCTGTGAAAATTTCACAGTTTTCCTATTTGAATTTTCTGATGAATCTTAATTCTTAAGTTAACAAGTGAATAAACTTGTGGTGAGTTCTAGGACAATAAGATATCTGTAGAAATTCCCCTATCACATCATTAAATATTTGAGCTTAACAAGTTTAACAAAATATTGCAATAACAATCATAAATATGAATGCTGGTCATCATGTTAAGTAAGTGGGTACAAATGAAAAAAATTTGAAATTGACAAATTTTTCCATTTCACTGAAACAGATGTTAATCTTCCCTTCTTTCTTTCTTCCATTTTCTCACTCAAACCAAGTAGAGTTTCAGATATGTCTTTTCCAACATTCCACTGCAATCAAAATGGAATAGTCCGTTAGTTGTGGGGTATTGGTAGGGGGAAATGGTCATGCTAACTAAGGGAGGGACAAGAAGAAGTATAAGAAGATTAATCTGTTTGGATTACCATCCTCATGTTGGTTTTTTTATAGTCATAATGTTTCAGCCACTGTTCTGTCTGTTAGTCTTCAAGAATCTGTTGCATTTGGTAATTTCCATAGAATTATCATATTTAACATTAATCTCTTCAGTCTGGTGTCTTCATCGAGGTTCTTATTGTCAACCAAATTTTAATTATTTTACTCTTTAAAATTCCTCAGTAATTAATTGAAAATTCTCAGGTTACAAAATACATCAAACACCAGAAGATGGCCACAGGGTATAATAGCCAAAATATAACAACAAAGATAACGATACTAGTCTATGTACAATAAACTTATTTTATTATTAAATTAATGAGTGTTATTTCTGTTTTATTAGTAGCATGATAACAATTTTACTATATTTCATTATATATTATATAGCCGATTATTATCTTTTACTGTATTATTTACATTACAATGTTGATGTTACTATTTTTGGATTATAAAGTACAGTTGACAGACTGCATAACTAATAAACAGATGAGGAAACTTAAAGAAAATTCTAAGATTTCTCTAACATTCGATAAATGGTGATACTGGGAATTTTTGCATTAACCTTATATAATAGCAGAAGATAGTCTAAATTTTATAAAGCATAAAAAATGATCAATTTGGTACTTGAAAAAAATCACTATCTCTCTCTATCACACACAGATATATATATATATATATATATATATATATATAAAATAACAAGATTTAAATAATTTATACAATACATACTTATAAGCAATAATTAAAAATTCTTAGAAAGAGATGATAATTATTCAGTTCTATGTGCCATGTCTCTTCAGGACATTGGCAATCATGGCTCTCCACAATTTCCTGTTCTTTGTAGCTCTTAATAAATTACTATATCTCATAAACCTTCCTCTACTATCCATTTACTCAATTTTGCTAGGTAGGTTATGCATTGTTTCTTCTATCCCACTTGCCTTCAATCTATATTGTGAGTATCAAATTTTCCAAACCCTCTTTCCTCATTATGTGCCCTAGAAATTTCAACTATCTCTTTCTGATGTTAAGTATAAGTATCCTTTTTGTTTCCATTTTCTCGAAAACTTCAACATTGCTCACATGTTTGGTCCATGGTATTCTCACATTTCTTCTGTAGAACCACATTTCTGTTGCTTTAAGCTTCTTCTTGAAGCAACAGAAATGTGGTTCTTCTTCATTTATGAGGAGATTGTGCAGCATTCACTGCCATATCAAAGAACTGATATTTTATAACAGATTAGTACTTTTTTCTTTGTTTCTAATTAAATTTTTCTGTTTCTTAATACTTTGCTTGGCTTTTGGAAGGCATTTGTCACTATCCCAATGTGCCTTCGAATTTAAGTGTCACACTTTCAGTCCTAGTAATTCAATTTTTTTAAAAAGAGAGGGAGAAGAAAGAGGAGTGCTTAACACAACATATGGTTGTTCTAAATCTACAAAATTATTTTTACATCCATAAGACAGTCATGTATGATTTAACTTGTTGATTAAATAAGCCTTCCTTTTAACAATCCAGAATCCTTCTTAATAAGTGCAAATATAAAGAGGCAGCTGAAGTTTCTGGGACACATAATGAGGAAGGAGGGCCTGGAGAATCTGATACTCACTCAAGAGAGACAAGGGAAAAGACATGTGACATACCTGGCGGACTTAGGCAAGTGGATGACAGAATGTGATCTGGGGGAGGAAGCAGAGGGAAAGAAATTGCTGAAAGCTGCAAGGGATAGAGGGAGGTGGAGAGCCATGATCGCCTACATTCTGAAAGGACATGGCACATAAAAAGAAGAAATACTCGGCATATGATCCTTTCAAGGTTAAAAGTTTCTCCAAATTTTTCCGCTTGAACTAAAGTTGACGTGACAAAGTTTCAGAGTTAAAATGAATAAAATGCTCAGTTTTCTGAAAATACAATTACAAAAATAAGAATCTGATTGAGGTAACTTTGTAAATGCTGAAATTAAAATAGCAGACTAATCTGGTATTAACGCAATGTGTTACTCGGTAAAATGACAGGATGGACATCTGTTCCAGGGTACTGTGTGCAATCAATGATTTTCTTTATAGCAAAGTTGAATTATAAGCAACATTAGAATATATCAAAAGAAGGGCATCACCAGACTGAACACACTGTCAGCGTTCCTGATTTTAGCTCCTAACTCGCAGTTGCCATCTTTTGTACTAAAAACTTTGTGCAAATTCTTCCATTGTGTTACAGATAATGGCTTGTTTTATCAAGTGCATGTAGTTTGTTGTAAGATTTCTCTGAATGCAAGAATTACCTCATAGCTTCTCAAGGTAAAAAAAGATCACACATGAATGCTGGGTAATATTCTGGTGAAATAAATCTGGATGCAAATACACAGACACTAATACATACATACACACACACACACATTAGTTTTAATCCATTCAAGTCCACAAACTAATTTCTTGGTGGCTGTAGAAAATCTGATATAAAAAAATACTAAATTAAAATACTACAGTGAAAACATATTTTGAATTTACGGTGTTACTGCACAACACATCCATATATATGTAACCACTGACGATGGTCTCAGATGAGATGGAAAGTACTTAGCAAAATAAAAATTATTTGAAAGAAAATTTTGGAATTTTTCTTAATCAATTTTCTACAGCTACCAAGAAACTAAATTATGGACATGAAAGAATTCAAACTAAAAT